ATATATTAAATTTCGTTCGGTTTTTTTTCCATAGCTAGCTGAATCTCATTTTCCTGTGTAGATTATATGCCTTTTTGTGGGTTTCTGCTCGCTATGGATATRTGTTTTTTTCTGTTCTTKATGATACTGAACTAAAAGTTCARTATCATCAAGAACAGAAAGGAGATGTGGTGACTTACCAGAGAAACAAGACAAGGTAACGTGAGGCCGAAGTTCTCCTTAATAATAATTGTTCTGTACTAAGGATCATATAAAATGAAAACTTACATAATAAGCTCTATAATGGTAATAAACTTGATAATGGTAAGCTCTTAATTAATGAGGCCAGTTATCAAACATGAATGTTTTTGTGCTGAAGTATGGCAGTAAAAAGATAAGAGTTCAACAGTTAAAGTTATTGAGTGAGCGCAGCCCTAAGGAGAGTCAGGTAAAATTTCAGACATCAGGATCATCCTCTTAAATGGTAAACTGTCATAAYTGGAGAAGAAGGAATGCATGTTTGTTACAGAGTGAGTCGAAGACTTGTGGATTAGATTGTCTTGTGACCTTTTAATAATTTCTTAAAGATGGTATTTCCTGGATATCAAATGATAYGCTGAAGTTATTTTYAAACTGTGTAGTTTGGGTCTTTTTYCTGCTAAAGTATAGTATAGTATACTATTTGGATTTAAATCCAAAATAGTTCTAATATGAATATCCATGCTCCATCCCACATGGGAATGTGAGMAATGTTGGATGGGTACTGGATTACATTTGGATCATAACTAGTTCGAGTGCTTCCCCAGAAGTGTCTGATAGTGCATTTCTGAAATTTGAAAACTGCAGGTGTATTTTTGAATTTTGCTAACTGTGTCTGATTTGTAATTAGCCATTATTTTTTTTGCCTTCACGAATAGAGGTAAACTTTCTCTGTAACTTGAAAAAGCCATCAATTATGACTTCTGTTATCCTTCAGTAACCTTYTTCTGCCTACTTTTGCATTTCACCTGAAGAGATGCTTCAGGCCTATAAATGTAAATACCAGACCCCAGTGTTTTTTTAATTTGATTTGGTTTTGCTGGGGTTTTTTTTTTTAACTGTAGTAGAAATTATGTGGGTGGGTGTATCTTCATAATGTGCTGTTCTACTGGTTTATTAAGGTAATTTAATCAGGATTACTACATAATTTGATTCTAAATGATCTGAACTTGCAAAGAGGACCTTGTCCATTCATGCTTCTCTCTGACAATWAACTCAGCCTTAAAAAGGAAACTCAGAGGAGCTATGATCAAACCTAATAAGAAATGTGAATATTCCCACTAGGAAAAAAAAAAACCAACAAAACAAACAATCCACTGTGTCCTGTTCTTACCTATTCCTGCTGTGTTGCAGTTAGCAAACAGGAAGGAGTTATGGTAAATTCCTCCAGGAATACCAGGCAAAAGTGTAAACTTAAAGGAACTACTGCAACTTACTGCAACAATCCAGAGAAGAGTTTCAGAAAGATTTTAAAAAGTACATCTTACTGATACTTAAGTAGTTATTAGCATTTTTATTAGAACTAAAGCTTATCCCTTGTATCTTAYGGGTATGCTCCAGGGAGAATAAAAACCCCAACTTATCTTAAGTGTTCACATTATTAAATTAGCATGTCTTGATTAGTATTCTTTTCAGTTTTTATTTTTACAGTGATTAAATGTGTTATTTTCAATTAACTACTGAACACAGTTACGTCTATTTTACTTTTATAGACTGAAATTCTTAATATTTGTATACTTTCCTGTGCTGTAACTMTGGAATTTCCAAAACTCTGAATTGTTTTGTTTCAGCAGGTGACTGGTAGAAGAGAGCTGCTCTTGATGATGTCGAGGAGAAAGCTGGAGAATAAAAGCCTTTCTGGCTTGTTGGCCACATCTCTGCACACACCAATCAAGACAGATAATTTCCACAATTTTTATATGCTTGAATCAAAAGAGCTAGGAAGGTAAGAGTATTCTTATTTATTTTATTTTAGCAAGAGGAGTTTCTGCTGSAAGAAAGTTCTCTGTACAGCAAGGCAAGTGTTTATGTAGTAGATGGAGAGTAAAGTATGCCTCTCTCCTTCCCTGTCCCCTTCTTTGCATCACAGTGGGTTCTTTAGGGACCAGGAAAAGATACAGTGGTTGGCATGAGTTGCCAGCCTTTTTCACATCAGAGAGATTTGGTGTGTTTTCACAGGAATGTARGTTTGGGATTATCTTTCTTTCCTTGCCTAGTCACACATCAGATTCCAAGTGCATGGCCTAAGCAAGAAATGACATAGGGAATACTGTGAGGCAAAGAATGAGGATTTTGAGTTGGTTTTCTCAGGTGTTTGGGTAAATTTTCTGAAGTCCAGAAAACAAAGATCTTGCCTCTGTCCTTCCCAGCCTCAAGCAGTTAACTAAGTTTCAAACTATCTGCTGTTTCAGAGCAGTTTTGCAGCCYGCTTCCCTTGCTCACGTTTGCAATAGTAAAATAGGAAATAAGAAAGCACCCAAAATGTTGCCATTTTTGACAGTGTTTCAGACATACAAGTGAATGTGTGTTTGAAATCACCGGGTTAATTGGTATCTTGAAAATACTCAGTSAGTTGGGTTTAAAGCCATGCAAACATGATGCCATGATTGTATTTCCAAGCTCCCTGAACAGAAGTGTCCCGGGTGGGTGTCACAGCTGTGCCTTGCTGTTCTGCACCTGCAGCCTTGTTTTGTCAGCAGAGATGCTCTTCTGCATGTGGTTTGACAGCTCTTTAGCCTTCATTGTTCTCCTGGGGTTTTTTTCTATTTTTCTAGCATATGCTTTATCTGGTACACTTTTTTACAAGTGCACATTGCAGGCCATAACTTTCTTCTTTTCTTAACTTTTGTCAGCTCTGCTTTTGAATTCTAAGCTCTACAGAAGCAGTTTATATGTATGCAGCACCCTCTAGAACTCAGGTATTGTTACAATGCTGGATACTTGTGAGATGATGTCTAAAGCAAACAAAAGTGTAGGTTTTGTGTGAATTCCAGAACACAGTCTTTAATACTTTCTGTGCATGCAAAACCAGGCATAACAAAACAAGTGCAAAAATGCAAAGAAAACGGAAGCAAAGAACTCTGTTTTGCAGACATACTTGTGATTTCTCCTGGCTTAACTACATGTATTTTTTTCATGTTTTTTAAGTGCAAAAATGCTTTTTAAGTGACATAAAATCCATCTTTATTCGTACCTCTTTGAAAGATTCAATATACTTTCCTTTTCACTTGAAATTTTCTTTTTCCTGTTGAGATCGTGKAGTAAATAGTTCTCTTGTTCTCTGCTTAAGCTTCCCAAGCCCCATTTCCTCCTCCCACACCCTTATCTGTTGGGTCCTTTCATATTTAAGACACTGACTCACAAAGCTGGCAGGTTAGGTTCTGTTTAGTGGGTTAAGTAGTTCTGTCCCCCGTGTGTGCATGGCTTGGCTTAGTTAAATTTCTGTGGTTTCCAAGTTGAGATATGAAAACATCCTGAAATCAGTTTTTCTTGTAAAGCTGGGCTGTGAAGGGGGAGGTTACACAGTTGCTTTGCAGGCARGGAGTGGGAACTGCTCCGCTTGCATCAGTGCAGCACTTCCGAGCTGACTTTTTTGCACTTCTGGAGCTATTTCCATGGCTCTAAAAGACCTTTTTGTCTTAATTTTTSCCTTAATTGGCACACTGCTAATAGAGTATAAAGAAGTGAAAGTTTTATGTCTTGAATCTGGAGATATCACTGACCCTTCACAGTTGTTAGACCCACAGCAACCACATGGAAGATGTGCCAAAACTATGGGAGAAGATCTTACTGTTCTCATGAAACTAAATTGGTTCCCCTTTGTTAATTTTAGAGACATTTTTGTGGCTGGCAGGGCAATGTGATGTTAAAAAGGGAAACTAAGCTGCAGGAGGGAGTGTTTTCACCTTGGGTAAATGATGAAATTGGGCTCAGTAACTTCAAATGCACTGCAATAATACACTGGTTTAACAGTTGGGAAAGAACGTGGCCATTTCAGGCTTACAAATAGTTGCTAAAGTGAAGAGTGTGCATGTATCAGACTAAATAACTTTCATCTCTAATATTTAGTGCTTTAGAAAAAGGACAGAGAAAATCCACAACTAATTGATGTTAAAATAAATRATGACAGAGAACTGATTTATTGAATTTATTTTTAAGTCAGTTATAATAGTTAAGATTTAAAGTAATCTTAAAGTATTTGATAATTTAGGAATGTTTGTACTGTTATTTGCAAATGAAAATTAAATTTTTTCAGGAGATGCTCATCCTTTTTTGATTAAATGTCGAAGTCTAGACTTTTTTCAAAGAAAGCTTTCTCTTTTTTTTTTTTTTTATTTTAAGAAATATTACTTTCAAGCATTGGGATTTTTGCAGCAGAAAAAAAGGCAAAGCCTGCAGGGCAATGTGATCTCTTCTATTAAAGAAGCTAATTTAGTTAAAAGAACACAGATAGTTTGTACTGAGCTGTTTCATTGTTTGTTCTTGGTGTGCTGTGGTGTAGGTGGAAAGGCTTTTTTGAAGACGTAACTGTGGATCTTGCATTTTGTACACAGCTTTATGCTGTTTTTAGAACTTTACACACAGTTTATTGCAGCTTTTCAAGTTGTTTTTTTGTAAATAATATTTCTTGTATCATTTGAAAACTCTTTGCATGTATGCAACAGGCATTTTTGGGAATATAATATTAGTGGTTATAAAATTKTTTTTTCAGTTTATAACTTGGCTTTAAAAACTGCATTTTTCCTCCTAATTTTTATAAAGATCAGCTTGGTGCTTTAACTACAGTATGTGGTTTTCTTTTAAAAGCATTTCTTTGCCAAAATATGGGTGTTTTTCCATACCCAAACAGTTGGCTGGGAAATAAAGCAGCATRCTTTGTCTAACTATAATTGAGGAAGAGAATGCTAAGTACTGGGTGCTTTTCTATTAAGATATGTTGAAACATTTTGCAGATACCTGGGATTTTTGTAGCTGTACTATGTGATTTGTGGAAGGAAATTCTCTTGAAGACTAAAATTTCTTGCACTGAAAACCTCCTGCCCCACCCATGCATATAAATATACTTTATTTTCTCTGTYCATTCTCTGCATTTCACAGGGGTTTGCTTTGTTTATTACTGTGTCCTGTAGGTGTTGTAATGAGGTTGAGGGTTTTTTAATATCTTGCCAACCTGAACCAGAGCCCTGGGCAGCCTGGTRAGATCTCATAGCTGGCCCTGCATTAAGCAGAGGCTTTTAGAGACCTCCAGAAGTCCTTTCCAACCAAATTATTCTGTGACCCAGCAGTGAAAATGTCCCTGTAACCTGATACTCTGATTTAATGTTTASCTAGGCTGGGTAAAGGGAATTTTACTGGGTCTCACCAAAGCTTCATTGAGCTTAGTATCCTTCTACACTGGCTCCAAGTGAATGTTCAGGAAATAGTGTAAGAGCAGGTGAAGCATGCCATTTCCCAATTAATTTTATTTTGTTTGTTTCCAATTATTTGCTATGTCTTCTTATTTCTAGTGGTAATTTATGTRCTTTATATTTCCTGGGTCTCAATGTTTTCCCTTTTATTTCATAGAGGAAGATGTGCTGTGGTTAGAAAATGTACAGCTAAATCCACAGGCCAAGAGTATGCAGCTAAATTTTTAAAGAAGAGACGAAGAGGTCAAGACTGCAAAGCAGAGATTCTGCATGAAATTGCTGTCCTTGAATTAATGAARTCCAATCCTCGCATAGTTAATCTCCATGAAGTCTATGAAACAGCAAATGAAATCATCTTAGTGTTGGAATAGTAAGTATGCCTTCATCTCATATTCCATGTTTGTAGATAAAAATCTTTCAATTTACTATTTTTTGTGGGAGTTGCTTGCATGCCTAGAAGAATTGTAACAGTACCCTGTATACATTATGCTAATCTTTCATTATAATACACTTTATATTTTTTTGTTTACAAATATTTCAGGCAAGCTGACTGGAGGTCAGCATGTTTTTGGATTACCGGAGAAGGCCCAGAGTGCTTTGATGCAACTTAAATCACAAAAAAAAATTATTGTTATCACATACACAGATTTCAAAGWGGCTGAGCACATCCATGCCCTGTCAACTTCAGTTAGCACTTGACTTTTTTTGGTGACGAAAGACTTGCAGTTACTTTGTSTGTTTTGAGCTCCTAAATTTATTGAGTTTGTTGTTTTAAAATTGGCTTTTGGAGCTGTTGCCTAAAAAAATCCTGTATTTTTTTACAGATGTCSTTGAAGCTTCTCATTAGCTCTGAAAAATAAGTCTTAATTTGGGAATTGAATTTGAATTACCTGTCATATTTGTGGTATGGGTAAATTCTTGTTTGGATTGTAAGGAGCAAAACTGTGAAATTATTCTTTCTAAGCTTTAAGTTTCATGTGCAGAGTATTTGCAGTGCTGTTAATGGTGGTCTGCATACACCATGATAAATCCCTTCAAATTTTCTAAACAATATAGCTAGATTCTATCTTAAAAAGCCTTTTTTCCCCTGGAACTRCATGACCCCTAACATATAATTTATTTTCCTAAGGCTTTTTTGCAAATCTTCTGCTTTGCAAATCTTTTTTTTGCAGACCTTTCAGCTCTTTTACCCATCTAGGTGTCCACCCATCCAGACCTCAATGTAACTTGAGTACAAGAATACCTTGGGAGCCAATGCTGAAGACCTTGTGAAATTTGAAATTCATGCCATGTGCTACCCCTCACCTTATGTGTGTGTTGTCAAAGTCAGCTAGGGGGGGGCAATACTGACACATCACCTGYCTTCACCTTGTGACTGTGTTCATTCATTTTGTCCATTATCTACCTTTTTAACAGAATCTCTCATTTTGGTAGAGTGATGTTTAGGCTTAGTGATCTGTAGTTTTGAGGTAGCCCTTCATCCTTGAGAGAGAAACTTCAGGCATTCAGAGCAGGCTGAGTAATGATCTCAAACTGAGCCTGAAAGAAGACAGCTGACACTGCAGCCAAGTGTAGGAAGAACTCATAAACCACATGAACACAGATATTTCCATGCTGCTTTACACTGCACTGAATTATTTATGAACTGGTCTCATGGAAGAAGTTTTAGATTTGACTTTTTAGATTAGCTTCTTTGATTGGGACTGATGATAGAAATGGACTCCTGGAAGGCATCTTCCCTCTTGCTTATAGGAAAGCATCTCCCCACTTGCTTGAGGGGATCAGAGCAATATGAGGTTACTAGTCAAAGTGTTTCAGGACATAAGGAAAGAAAAAGCATAATCAGATTTTTTTTTCCCTTTTCAAAGTTTATATTAAGTGTTTTAGCATAAACTTGTAAAAATATTCCCAGTGTCTCTGATATTACAGATATATGTTAGATTAATAGGTGCTATTGACAACATTATTCCTCATTTAAGCCTCAAAAYTTAAAGTTAATACATAGGTGTTCTTGAATGTGTTTCAGTGCTGCTGGAGGAGAAATATTTGACTTGTGTGTCCCWGATCTGGATGACAGAATTGGTGAAAGGGATATTGTAAGGCTTATAAGGCAAATACTTGAAGGACTTTGCTGCTTGCATGAAAACAATATTGTTCATCTTGATTTAAAGGTGAGGCTGCAGAAGACTTTGTTTTATATTTTATCTTCAATTTATTATTATGTTCATCAAAGTAATTTGTTAAATACATAAAAATGAGGAGAAAAAGGATATTAAAGGATATTAAAATGAGATTAACAGGATAGAGATTAAGTATTTTTAAATAACATTTAGCAGTAAGTATTGCATTATGGAACCTGTGTCATTTAGCAAATCTGGCTTTTTTTTCAGATTGCATTTTATTAATTCATAATACAGTGTTTTCTATTCTAGCCTCAAAATATTTTGCTAAGCAGCGCCAATCCTCTTGGTGATGTAAAAATTGTGGATTTTGGGATGTCCCGGAAGCTTGAGAATTCCAGTGAACTGCGGCAGATCATGGGAACAACRGAGTATCTCGGTATGGAAGGGCTGCTTCACAACATCTCATGTTGGGTTTTGAGAAAACAGGAACAGCTCATGTGATATGCTTATCGACTCACAAGTCACTTCTGAGAAGGAACATGATGGGACAAGGCCACATATTTTGAGCTGCTCTTCTTCAGAGCAGTCAGCAAATATTTGCACAAAAAAAATCTCAAATTTTTGTATCAATAAGTGCCCCTCTCAATTTCATGCTGTAGTATTTGCTGTGATGCAGGCTGTTAAATTCTTCTGATTAGAACTGAAATACAATATGAACATGTGCAAAGAAATATTCTTTGAATTAGCAATGCTGTTTAGTATGATGATTTAATGAGATTAAAATATCCCTTGGAAAAGGGAAGATTGCTGTTAACATTTGGCCCTCTCTGAGGGACAAGTTTCCTTCATGATTTGTCAATGGTCAATTTAAGAACCCTTCATTCTGCAGTGAATAACTTGCCACCTAGCCTGTGCTAACAGCCACTGATCCTAAAATTGGCTTGGTCATCTTGTTTGCAGTGTTTAGCATGCTGAAATCTTCATGCATTCCCCTTGAAGAGCTGTATACTTCAGAACTYCTTAGAAGAAAATTTATATGCATGTATCTGATTAGAACACATCTTGAAACTTAGATAAACTTTAGGCCATGTAGTGCCATTTTGGTGTGAACTGATTAAACATCTGTGTCTAGGCAAACAGAAGTAACTTTTTGGCACCTCTGTGGCTTGAAAATAATAAACTTAATTATTGAAACTACATGTTTAGTCTCATAATAATGGTTGGCAAAAGAATGCCAGAAATGTGTATGATTCAAGGCCATTTGAATACCATATTTATTAAAGCATTTTTCTTTTYCCATCTCTTTAGCTCCAGAAATCTTAAACTACGATCCTATTACTACAGCTACTGACATGTGGTAGGTTGTGTATCTTAATTCATTTTTGAGGTTTGGTGGGACCACTTAACAACCTTAGGGCCTGATGCAGTTTCATCTGGCTTCCAACAATCCCCTTCAGTTGGTGGGCTGACTTGAAGAGGCAGGGAGGGATGGGAGGGGAAGGAGCCTCAGGATGTAACTCAGGGCTTTAAGGATTTACTGTGTTGCACAYTTAGTATGGAATGCAGGTGGCTTCTGAGCCTGTGGAGTAAAGGTGTTTGTTCTAAGGGAATACAGTGGCTGGATAACATATTTTAGGTATTAGTTACTCCTCATTGACATGCTTCAGGTATTAGCTACTCTAGGACACTCTTCCCTCCCCACATTTACGTTGTTAATTTTTTACACAAATGATAAGGAGAATGTAAACTTCTTATTTTTAGAGAAATATCTGCAGAATGAATAATAAAAAATGACAAGTACCTTGAACTGACCCACTAATTTTGTGGCTTTTAAATTTTATGAGCTATCTTAAAGACTAGCTTTGAAATGTTTCCTTTAAAACATAAAATCTTCAGCATCTTAATTAAAATTCACTGTTAGAAGTTGCTAATTGCTCCTTTGAAATTCTCAACTCCTAATAGTAACTGAATCTGTTCATGAATGTTTTTTAATCGCTTATTATTTTCCTTTTTTTGGGGGAAGTCAAAAAAAGCCCCTGCTGATCTCAGAATGACAAACCCAACAGCTGCATGTTTCCACATTGTAATGAGTACTAAATTCTGATCTATCAGATTACAAAAAGGTTTTTATTATGCATCAAGAAACTATCTTAAGATTTATACTAGATTGCATGAGCTGTGGTATTCTTGTTCATGTTCTTGGGAGAAACATCTCAGGAAGAGGAGATTGTAACACAGCACAGATGTCACATGTAGAGGCTGACTAAATCTCGGTCTTTGCTCTGTCATACAGAATTGCAGTGAAAGATGAGTTTCATTTACATGCAGATTAGAAAGTCTGTCTTTTTTTTGGTTCTAGCATCCAGAATTGCCATGTCCCAAGAGTGGGCTATGTAGAAGTGAGGTATTTTATTTTTCTTAACAACCTCAATAGGAAGAAAATGATATATTAAAAATAGTTTTCAAAAATCCTTTCCTTGAGATATATTCACATAGCTTTCCTTGTGTATGTGCAGTCACGTTTGAATCACAATAAACTGAGATATCACATGATGCTTCTGAGTGTGGGATAAGTCAGGAAGTTTGATCTGCAGCACAGTAAATATGCAGGGTGTATGGTTGAGATAACTCCAGTAGGTTTATACATTGTGTTCTTCAGTAGGTTTATATATTGTGTTCTTAGGAACATTGGCGTCATCTCATACATGCTGCTGACACAAGAGTCTCCATTTGTGGGAGCTGATGTCCAAGAAACTTACCTTAATATATCTCAAGTTAACGTGGATTTTTCAGAAGAAACATTTTCATCAGTTTCACAGCCTGCAAAAGACTTCATTCAGAAACTTCTCATAAAAAATCCAGAGTAAGTAACAAACTCATTCAGGCAAAATCCTAAATTTGTGGAGCACCTAGAAAAAGTGAATGTTACTTTTATGTACTTAATACCACCAATGTGATCAGTTGGATATTTCAAAATGCCTTGGTATTTTCAATTGGATATTTAAAAGTACAGGCTTATGCTTTTCCATAATGTGTGAAAAGGATCTTCGATTCTGTTCTATCTTTGGCCATTATTGATCAGATCTTGTTGTTGTTATTAGAAAGAATGTTATTAGGCTTTTTCTTTGAGGTTTTGTTTCTTAATATTTTCATTCAGAGAACAAATTATTAACAGATTTTATTAAAATATACTCTAGAAAGATTACATTCTTTTCTATAATTGTTGTACAGTTTGAACAGACAAAATGCAACCTCTTTGCAGTGTTTTCTTGTTTCCTGACTTACTTTATCTTTCTACTTAAATACACCTTTTATTATATATTCATACTTTGCCTTGTTCAGTCTTAATGTTCACAATCCAAAATGAAAACTTCTTTTTGTTTGTAACGCACACTCCCATAATTCTGAATTCTTAGGGAGTTCAGACTTTAATCAAGAGTTTGCAAAATAGCTGAACTTTGAGAAGTGACCTGGTCAGGTGTAATCAACTGCACTGCTAGATATTGTCACTTGAGGTGAGACAGTAGTCTTTGTCATCTTCAGAGAGCCTCCAGCAAACAGGAGTGACCCTGCTTGGCTGGGAAAGGCTCTTGGATAGGAGACGATGGCAGATGATTTCTGGGAAGTATCTACTCTTTATATGGACTTCATAAAAAGTCACACCTGAAGAGTTCTTTCTGGTTTATTATCTCACATAGATGGTTTGTCAGGATCTGAAATAATTCACAAAATCCCAGATGCACAAAATCTTTTGTGTTCATGGAGCACCTAGAAAAAGGGAACCAATGATGAAGGGTCTGCTTTGATAACTCTTWGTGTGGACTTGTGGGATGTTTGATGTTCTGTCACAATTACTACCCACTTTCTCCTGGGCATCTTAAGAGTCTTCATTATGTCCTCAATAAGATGCCTTTTTTTTCCCCCCATTCCAACTCTTGATGACTATACCTCCTTGAATTTTAAGAGGAAAAGTCTGTTCTCACTCAACTCTGTAAAGTAACACTTCTCTGACTGAGAAACATTGATGTTCTGGCAGGTTTAGGAACAAGCAGTGGGCTATATTGTCTTAGATCTAGTTTTCCAGCAAGTTCTGTGGACGTTGGCAGAGCAGAGCACAATATTGACTCTTCAATGKCAATTTTGCTTAGGATTTTTAGCATGCATCAGAGCTATTTTAGTTTTTTAGTATTTGTGAAATTAACTTAAGCAACTTTCCCCTTTCCTTTCCAAAGGGACAGGCCCACAGCAGCGGACTGTCTCTCCCATTCCTGGTTGCAGCAGGGGGAGTTCACACTCCTGTGCAGCCCTGAAGAAACTTGCTACTCCTCTCAGCTGCCAGGACACCCCACAAAGTGTTCAGAAGAGCGGAGTGTAAAATCCAGCTGCAATGGTACCTGCAGTGACAAGGAGGACAAGGAAAACATTCCAGAGGACAGCAGTACAGTATCCAAACGCTTCCGTTTTGATGATTCCTTGCAGTATCCCCAAGACTTCATGACAGACTTTGTGTGTTAATGTGTAATAGAGACTTTTCATGAAATGAATTCAGCATAATCTGTTCCAGTGGTGAAAATAAGGTTCTGGCCTGCCAATTTGTGCAGCATTGGCATACTGGAAATGCACTTTGATTCTTTTATGCTGGTGCCTCCTTTTTTATCCATTGCTGGCAGTGGATTTAACTCCTGAGGAATTGGAGTTGTTGCGCCAATAAAATGAACTATTTTTCTTAAGAAGATATAATTAAATATTTTTGCACTTTTCAAGTTCTAGTCAAAAGATGATGCTGGAGTGAACAAACTGAAACATGCAAATGAGTTTGTCTAAGCACAGCCTTTGCCAAACAGTAGTTGAACACACGCATGCTTTTCAGACTAGTCTTAGTAAGAAATTGGGAAGGRAAACAGGGAAACCGAATTTTGCTGGTTTACTGGACTTGCTTGCTACCATTCCCACCACTTTAAAAAGAGGCTAAAGTTGGTATGTTTTGGGACTATGGTACATCTGTTGGGGCCATTTGGAAACCTGTTTTCCCTCTAGGACCACTGGGAGTTCTGTTTTATAAATCTGGTCCACTTGGGCATTATAATGGATATTCTGTGTGGTTATGCTGTGTTGGATCTTTGCAACACTTTGCATAGAAAGTGGAGAGATTGTCCTTATTCTTGTGGTCCTTGGCTTCTTACTGTACATTTGAATAAAATGAGTTTCCTGTGCTGATATGAATATTTTAAATTGCTGGTTTGCTTTCATCAAACTTCTGAAATAGTATCATCTACCTGTATTGACTTTTTCCTTATCTTAAAAAAAAAAAACCAAAACCCAAAACAAACCCCACCCCCCCCAAAAAAAACCCAAACAAGCCCCAAAACAGAAAGCCTCTAGTTAAAAGTCATAACTGAATAAACTAAAAGTAACTATTTTTGCCAGTGAAGCTGCAATTAAGAACTTTTTTCTATGCCTCTGTAATGTAGAAGTGCACCTTGCTGCCAATTATTGTTGCCCATAATTACTCAGCTTCCTGCCTGCTCTGAGAAATGGACTGCAGTGTGTTAGTATTTAAAAACAAACTACCTAATAATTGTTTTAAGCCTTTAAAACTGGTTTGTTTAGTGGTATTTTTTTAAGTTCTGTGCCTTCCGCTTCCTGTTTCTAGCTCTGAGGTAATAATGCCTGTATCAAGTTTTGGCTTAGAGCAAATTCCAGTTGTGCCTTAACAGACAGAAACTAATACTCATGAAATAAACCCCTTAATCATAACAGGGGCTGGGAGTCTTTTGGACAGTGAATTTATTAAAACTCTTATATTTTGGAAGTAAATTTCACTTCAAAATATTTTGGGATTTTCCACTCCTCAGAGCTTAAATTTAATTGTCTTTAAATTGGGTTTATTTTGTATAATAAAATACCACAATCTGATAATCCTTTTCAAGTGTGCCTGTGGATTTGTCAATAGTTKGGTAGAGGGGCATTTTGGAATAACATATGATTGAGAGGTGAACCTAAGGGGTGGTAAAAGATTGTATTTTAGCTTTTTTTACTCTTTAAGGAAAGAGCAGTTTTTTCCCAAACAGATCACAGTCTAAGGTATCACCATAAAGYTTGGGGGGTTTCAGGTCTGTTGTCTTGATTTGGGGTGACAGTCACTTCAACAAGTGGAAAGCACACTGAAGTGTAAGGCAACTAAGAYTTTCCAGTTTATATGTGTTAGAAGTAGAAAGTTTCCAAGACTTAATTTAATGTGAAATGAACTAATAGGTATGTTCAGCAGAGACAAAACTGATACCTGGRTGTCAATGAACCACCCTGAGTCTGCTCTGTGTATGAACTAATTCTCATGTAGCTTTTTTTCAGTGGTATTGATTGTATATAGACTTGCAGAATGACTTTGCAGGAGGCAGCTGTTGGATTGTGTTCAGGTACTTTACACCCTTACTTTTCAAAGAACTTGGCTTTTTCCAGTTGGATTCTTACTTGAGATTTTGATTTTCTCACCAGCGTGGAGTCCAGTTTGAACTGGGTAAGTTAAAACCACAAACTATTAGATACATATATAGAAGTTAAAGTTCACTCAAGATGAAGAAGCAAATGCCAAAAAGCTGTGAAGATAAAGGTAAAAAAGAATGTTTATTAAATTGTTGTTATTTAAGACACTGCAAAAGTATTACTGAATTGGAATTACAACTATTTTTTAGCATCTGGAAAATAAAGCTGAAAGCATATGCCAGCACTTTATGATAAAATTGTTATTAATCCTTAAGATCTTTATCACATGTTATTCTTTAAGATCTTTATCACAGTATCTGATGTTTACATTTCTTACTACTTTAGAGCTAACTTATATTTAAATAAATGAAAATTGGTTTTCTTGGTCAAAGAATTTGCTTTGAAGACTTTATTTGTACTTCATATAAACTTAAAATATACCTTGAATCAGACTTGGCTTGGATTAAGTGCATGAGATTTATTTAAAAATATTGTGCAAACTAACTCGAATATAAATAAATACATTGTAGGTAATTGTCAGTATTGTCCTGCTTCCTGCCATATTATTGATACTTTCCAAGTGTGAATGAGTAGYGAGTAACATTTTCAGATGACTACATCTATACAGTTCATGACCTTTTTATATTTAAAAAACCCCAAACTGCCATTTTTTCAAAACTTCCATGTTTTTGTTTATTCACAGAATCAGAGACTATAATTTTCCAGGAGTGTGCGGGAGGTTGTTTAAATCTTAAACTGTTGTGCACAAGCTGGGCTGATGCACGATGCAGCACCTGGAAAAMCCTTGGTTGCTGTTGTGGCTCAGCCAGCCCAGCCCAGCATTCTATCATCCTAAGAAGGGTTTTGTAAACACAACTGTGTTCTTTTGCGTGTTTAGCTGACACACCTGTGCTCCTGCTTTGCCTAAAGACGAGCACCTGCATGCACTCATTGACACACATCAGTTAATTGATAAAGGTGAGGAGGGCACTGCTGCGAATGGCATATGCTGCTCAAAGCCACGGTCACCATCCTTATTGCAAACTGGCAGGCTCAGCAGTGAAAAAGTGAAGCTTTTTCTGCCTACAGACAATGGCAGTGCAGTAAGAGCTCAGCTGGGCTCGGCTCGGCACAGCTGTGGGTACTTTGTGCAGTCTGAACCCCATCCCCTCAGGTGTGAGCCGTGCGCCCTTCAGGCGAGTCCAGCGCGGGCTCTGCGTCCCGGCCACAGAAACGCAGCGGCTGCCGGGCTCCCGGCGCTGGGCCAAGCCCCGCCACCGCGATTAGGCTCCCTCAAGTTTCCAGCGGCTGGGATAAGGCGATGGAAGCAGGGAAAAAGCCGTGCTGAGCCGGCCGTGTCCCGCTGCAGAGCGCCGGCAGCGCCGGGACCCCGCGGGGCGGCTGAGGAGCTCCCGCAGCGCTCGGGGGCGCCGGGATACCGCAGGGCTTTCTGAGCTGGAAGGTGCGTTTTGGTTGGTTTTCTTTGGTTTAGTTTTGGGCTTTTTTGTTGCCTCCCCACCCCTTTTTTAAAATTTACCTCACGTTCATGAGTTAAGGTTTTGCCGTGCCGCATTTTATCCCGCCCTCGCACGGTGTAAGCGGGCCGTGGCGGGGCGCAGAGGCCTCAGCGCCCCATCCCGCTGAGATCCAACCATCAAACCGCGGTGTCTGTGCTGTGAGCTCCSCAAAACAGGGTTTTATAAGCAACTCAGACCTCCTTAAAGCTGCCCAGATGTCCTTTAATTAGTTTAGCAGGGCAMATTTAAACAGATGTTTTTGGTTTGGGCTGCTGTTCCTGTAGAGTTTCCAGAGAGAGTGACTCTTTCCTACGGGCACCCCTTTAGAAACCACAGAAATTGATTTGCGTAGCAAGTCTTCAGCTTGGTGCAAAGTACAAAACATTATGTCATTGTCTTGGTTTCAGCTGGCATAGAGTTCATTTTCTTCTTAGCTGGCACAGTGCTGTGTTTTGAACTTAGTATGACAGTAACATTGATAACACACTGATGTTTTGGTTGTTGCTAGGTAGGCTTACCCAAACCAAGGCCACTTGAGCTTTATATTTCAGTTTYATTATATGAGACATGGAGAACAAAGAGCATGTCCAAAGTTTAGAGTTACCTGATCGATTCAGGTGATTTTGCCCAAGTCAGCTGTAAAGCTGCTGATAAACCCCAGTCCATCAATCAGATCACCATGGGATGGTAACGGGGCTGGAGCATTTGGTGAAAATTCTTGGCAGAACCGTGTGTGTTGGGGAAAAAAATGAGGAGGAGTGTAGTTACAGCCTACAGAGAAAACAGTGCCAGATTCCTCTCGGTGCYGTGCAGCAGCAGCAGGAGGCACAGCTCCCAGAGCAGTTTGCAGAGAGAGGAATTCCAACTAGGCATAAGGATGACATTCTTCACAGTGAATGAAAAACGGGAGAACTTTGCCTGTGGAGGCAGTGGCCTTCAAATCTCAGCTGGACAAGGCCCTGTGCAATCTCTTTCAATAGATTTTAAAAATAAATAAAAAAAAAAAAATTGCAAGACCTTCCAGTCAGTTTGCAAGAGCAATAAAGTGACATCAGGCAAGGTGAAAATAACTATGTGAATTTAAACAAAAATATTTGCATTTTGCAATTGGTGGATGGGATCATGATTTATTAAGCCCAGCCAATGGCACAATTCTTCCATTTGAATCTGTGTCTCAAACTTTATGTTTCAGCTATAAGAGCCATTAAAACAAATTGTTGACATTAAACTGAACTTAGACCTTTGAATCTCAAAGTGTTGAACCAAGACTAACAAAGCATATTCAATCACATTGTTCTCACTTAAAATAGTATTAATAATTAGTGAAAGAGAAAAAGTTTTATATAGAAGTTAATAAAATTATTTATAATATTGTTAATTTCCCAATGCCCTAAACTAATCAAAGACTTGAAACCTGAGGTGTAGAGAACTTGAGTATGCATTTACTTCTTCACAARAAAACTTTAGAAGGCACTCATTGGCAAGTTGTATGAAGTAATTTTGCTTTTACAGAGTTTGTTGAACAATCATTTAAAATTTAGCAGATGTAGAGTTTGCAGTTTGGAAACTGTAAAATCCCATCTCCTCACCTCACAAATATCACTTCTGTAATCAACCCCATGCTGTTTCTTTGACATATTGAAGTTTCAGTTCAGCAAAGAACTTGCATTTCACCTTGAAATGTAACTTCAGTCACTTGGTGCTCAGTGAAGTTCTGATGCAAGTTCCTRGTATTAAAYGTTTGGAATACAGGTGGGTTGGCTGAATTTGGGTGTCTGAGTGATTTGGACTTTTGCTACAGTGAAGCTTAATGTCAGGTATAATTGCAGCAACTTTTTCAAGTAAAAAGTAAAATGTTTGCAAGTTGTAACCATGTGCTGAGAATACACCTCTAAGATGCCTTCATGTTACCCTGTAATTTTGTGCTGGTGACTAAACAAATTGCATTTAATCATATTATACTGGCATGAAACCCCTTCTAATACTTCTTYCASCTCATTRCWGAAAAGACATATCWGTCTTTGTTTGGCGTATTCTGTAAATAGCCAAATATTCTCTACATTCATAGCAATGAATATATTCTGAGGCAAAGAAATTGCTGTTAGAAGGGCAGGAATTCTTTACTGTGAGGATGGTGAGGTATAACCTGGGCACAGGCTGTCCAGAGAAGCTGTGGGTGCCTCATCCCTGGAAGTGTTCAAGCCAAGGTTGGATGGGGCTTGGAGAAATCTGGTCTAGTGGCAGGGGGTGGAACCAGATGGTTTTTAAGGTCCTTTCCAAACCAAATCATTCTGTGATTCTATGATTTTTAAGTAGCAGATTGAAGAATTTAGAATGTTT